GCAAATTTTGTGTGTATTTGAGAAACACAATTATAGTTTCGGGGTGTGGAATGAATACAATGGAAATTTGCGGTCTGTGGGATTACTGTATCTGGATAAATGCAAAGGCAGTTGGTTGTGCTTGGTGTGGGAGAAACGGGCAATTGCAGCGTTTGGAATGCATTTAATAATAATTTGGGTTGTGAGGGACGTATTCAGTGGCTTTTAGTGTTGCTCTGGACGATTGATGGTTTAATTGAATGTAGTTGTGGAAAATTTAGGACTTGTCGAATGGTATCTCTTACGTGCCCCTCTCGGGCGATCGGAAGAGATTTAACTTTAACTTAATAAATGGACTCGCGGACACACTCACGCAATCCAATTAGTAAATTTAGGATATTAGTTTCTGTATATCACAATCATCCAATTTATGAACATGACATTTTTGTATTCCAAACCATATTTATTAAAAGTACAATGCACTGTAATTCTCTTATACAGTCAACTCTAGATGCAGTGAACTCAGATAAAGTAAATTCGATTGTAGTGAACTGAAACCAATGTTTCAAATCCTCAACTATAACCGATAAGCACTATAGATCGCTTATAGTAAACTCTCAACGTCGATATACTCATCATGTGTACAACAAGCAGGAAAACATACGCTTCAGTACCTCGATTTTATGTAACACTAAGAATTTGTAGAAAGGTGGTTTCGTGAGTTGCGATTGTGTCAATGATGATGAATGAAAGGGATTCATGGAACCGTATGAAAATTACTTTAGCTCATTAGCTCAGCCTGAAAACTTCTTAGACGAGAAGCACAAATTAAAACAGGTGTAATACGATCTAGATATTACATTCGGTGAAAGACTTAAAAGAAATATTATATCGGAACGATGTTTAGATACGGATAGAATCGAAAAAATACTATAATAACTAGTATGACACAGAAACGAAGAACGTGCTCCAATAGTATAAGAGACATTGAAGGACGATGAGATTGCACTAAAATATTTAGTGGGTGAAAATTAGGTCTTAGGGAATCAGGTGTCATGAGAGTATGAATATATTGAAATATTTAATTAATTGGATATATTACTGTCCCTCTGCGAAATAATGTTATTAAGAATTGGATAACTGTATTATATTTCGGGATTATTGGATACAGTGAACCAAAAATGTTAGTCCCTAGACATTACCATCAGAGTCATCTGAAGTGGCTCTGTTGATGCTTCTACCAGCCGCAAGTCATCTCACTGCGACTTCCCTTTCAAATTTGAATGTAACAATTGCAACATGTACTGCCTCCCAGTTTTTTGGTCCTTCATAGAAGCACTGCGTCCCCACGAACTCACTTCTCCGAGCAATGTGTCCCCACGAGCGCACTTCTCCTGGGGAATGCTGGAGCAGTACCCTAGCAAACGGGCTGCGGACCGCGCGCGGTCTTTCCTTCGTTTCACTTACCTCACCTCTTACACACACACGTACCACATTAGCACACATGTGGGATGCCAGTCGATAGCTTAGAGCTTCTCCTGACTGGGACAATGCCTATCCTGTGGAGGATACTTGGTTGGGGAGAACCCCGCAAAAGACATGCAGGTCGGCGCCAGATCCAGTTTGGGATCACCGCCACCTCATGATGAAAAAACATGCACTACACTTACGAGACTGTCAGTTGATGTACGGCATAAAGTATGACGTTATCAGTTGTCGTACCCAGAAACACGAAGTAATCAGTATTTACTTGGCTGTCCGGGTGAAGCCGCGTCCATGGCGAAGGTGCCGACGTTTCGGTCGCCATTCTGCGATCTTTCTCAGGGCGTAATGAGCATCGCTATGGACGCGGCGTCACCCTGACAGCCTAGTAAATACCGACTCCGGCCGCGGAAGCCTACGCTCTCACGAAGTAATCAGTCAATGAACCTCACGAACTCATCTATTCGGTTTGTTTCGAATCGACGTCTTCAATCTCCTTTCTCCATCCCCGATTTTCATATAACACTAACTCAACTTCGTATAATAATTTTGAATTTTTAACAGATGGTAAGTTTGGTTCTCCCAATATGCGTTGTATTAAATTGTATTTTTCTGTGATCTTAGTTTTGAATTGTCTACCTAAGACGTTTTCATAAAGTTGGTTCTTCCTATAAAACTAAACACTTATTAAACATAGTTGCCTTTGTGTCTATACTTACAATTGCAACTCAGATATCAATATGGAAACGACTTTGAAGGCCCGAATTGTTTCGTCGTTTGCACAGATTTGGGAGTTCATTTTATTTCCCTGGGATTTAATTAACTAAATAACACACACATTCTTCACAATAAGCACACTTACAATAGAAATACTTAACTATATTTTATAGGACTACAATACAATAATGTTCTCATTTTTCAAACATTTGATTTGTTTTTTTTTCAAACATTTCAAGACATTTTCATAAATTCATTTTACTCTGTAAAATGATCAGAAACTTTTATTTTAGGCATTCTAGAATGTTTCTTGTGAGGTGTAAATTACCTAGAATTCTTAAGCTTCTTGAAGAGAATGAACTGACTTACTAACACAAACTATTTTTAGGTATTTATCAGAAAACAAATATTTTTAAATGGTAAATGTTATGTTACATAATTAAATATGTATATCCTTTAGAGAAAATGCTGAATTCTGTGTGTTATTTACCATAGATCAACGTGGTGTTCCGAGTTATAGAAAATGTATTTGCATCGGTAAAACGAATTGAAAGCATGATTTTTCTGCATTGCTAACAAAATAGTAACTCGCTCGTACCTCCACTCTTACGATTACAACAATAAGGAGAGTTCAAAAACGTGTGCATAGTGAAGCTACATTTACGTCCAGAAGCAAAACAAGGGGCCATCTCAGCATTGCTCAATGGGATCAGGACAGTGGACAAAAACCTGATCGAGATAGGGAATCTCTTTGGGATCGAACCTGAGGCTCCATCACCACAATAAGGATAGGCTACTTTTGCGGTCCTCGTCCGCCAAGCGTCCTAATTAGAGACGCCGGCGCTTCGGGGGCGGGCGCGAGGGCGAGCGGGCGTGGCGCTGTGCGTTGCCGCACGTGATCGCGGGTTCGCATATGCAGCACGAGGCGTTCTGACACGCGCGCGCGTAAATCTCCCGCCGCAACGTGCCGCCGACGTGTTAAATCACTGCGCCGCCGCGCGACTCGGCGTTCGGCGCTATCGCCCTGCGGAATCTCCTGGCACCGGCCGCCCCCACCCCGCTCCCATCAGCGGCGCTCTTAAACCCGAATCTCGCTTGCTCCCAGCCCCCCCCCCTCGCCCTCGTCCCCCCACGACGCCCGTTCGCTCCACCCCCAGCGCTCCCCTCCCCTCCCGACACAGCCGCTCTCCATCGTCCCGATTCGCGCCCGCGTTCTTCCTACCCCCTCAACCACCCCCAGCTTCCCTTTCCCCCTTCCCCCTCGCACCGTACCGGCAAAGGTACCTCACAACATCAACTGATGTCACTGCGGTGCATCTATTTGGGGGATCTTGGAGTCCGAGTCTAGACAGTATGGCAGAATTTTCGACAATAGCTTGTCGTCAGCTAGATCAAATTCTGCGGCCAGCTGACTCTCAGCCACCAGCCGCGTCCAGCCACCAGTAACCCTCATTCAAACACCAAGCGAATGCCGGAGGAGTTCCCTTAAAACGGGCCACAGACCGCACCCGATATTTCCTTTCTCTTGTTTTTTTTTGTCAGTCTGAATTCGGAGAGTGCCGGAAATTGATGAATGTTATGATAGAAGTTTCTGGCGAGGTATGTAATGATCTAATGATTCTATTTTGAATTCCTTGTGAGCGGATTGTTGGAAATGAACCATTCCCCGATTCGTAACGCTTGTTCCACTCCTCTCGTCACAGACGCCAGCCTTGCTCTCCCACCACCGCAGCTGACAGAGGAACGTCTCCAAGAAGGGACCACTTTGACATGTCGGGAAACAAATGAACGTCATGCAGGGCGATAACATTGCACGAGATAGTGATGAAGCCATTTACAAATGAGCTAACTGTACACGAACTCACTGACAAAATGAGTGCATGGACATAACCTGCAGTTATACTGCCAGCAGTGGCCGAGCAGTCGCTGGCAAAACGGTCACTAGTTATTTGATCTCTCTATATACACCTCCTCCCTTTTGCCGATTTCGTGCAAATTGAAATGTTTTCTTATGCGTTTAACTATCCATTTAAAAAAGTGTTTTTAGTTTATAAGGTTACTGCGAATAAATACTGACTGAACAAACTAATCTGATAAAACTATTTTCCTCTCCTAATTCGCTTTTTTCTCATTGAGGCATGCGCTCACATAGACTAATAAGGAATCAATTTTAATATTTTTCCTTTATGGGTACCACACTGCAAGTTAAGTCTTATTTTTCTTTATTTTCTTTTTCATCCAAAGTGACTTCTCTAGATATCTCTATTTACCTTCAATAGGCTACATCATCAAAATCAAAAACATCCAAATCCAAACATAAGAAATATAGAACACAAAATTCTATGTAAAGTGGTGAAATTTTTTTTTTTTTTCAATTTTGCATCTGAACTTACCACACCGGTAGTGTGTTGCACGTGTTCCACTTTACATGTCTTTCTTAACTACGCATCAGACTGTAATTTATTATACCTCACTACAGTTTCTTGTTGTTCGTTTATTTCTATTCCAATGGAGGGACTTTTGGAGTCGGCTGTTTTTCATCATTGAGGAGACTTTCTCACAAATTCTATCCAGGTCTGCTGCTGCTGCTGAGTTATCTTACGTTTGTTATCACTTTTTCATATTTTTTCATATTCATCCGAAAGTGGCATAGACAATCATTTTTAATGATAATTCACTTTTAAAGATATTGTTTGTTAAACAAACCTCAAAATTGTCTGGTACACATGTAAGCGAAATTTTCATTTCTGTTTGTCAACCATCAAATTTTGGAAAAATTAAAGTAATTGTTCTTGTGAAACATCCAAGTGAAGGTCACTCACCGATATCGGAAGAGCCTCCCCACGTGGCCTGCTGCGCCTGACGAGCCAGTTTGCCGATGGCCTCCACATAGAGGCCGGACGCTGCCGCGGCACCTGGAGCAGAGGAAGGCTATTAGGGGGCGCCTGTAACAGCAAAGCTCGTTTCTTAAGGTCGCCTTCCTACAGTTCAGTCATACAGCAACTTTTAACATTGGGGTATTGAAACATACTAGCAACATACACAAACGGCCGTATCCGGGGCGGCATTCGAAACCGCCACCAAGCGAAAACAGCTACAGCCCTTCAGCCTTAGCGACAGCGGCTATCTAGGCCGTCAACGCTCATTTTGCTCAGACTACGTACGCGCGTCTCAAAGTGAAAGTAATTAACAAGACCTAATTTTTAATAAAAATGTGTAGAGCTTAATGTAATGGTTGTGGTTGTGATTATCAGAAAATTTGAAACACGCGTGAAATAAATACTCCTATTGTAGAAGCTCTTTAGAGAGCTCTAAATGTTTTAGAATAGAAAAGTAACATATCAGTAAAACAGTACAGTTATTAGGAAGTTTCAGTACAACCTAAATCATTTGGACGAAGTTGAAAACTATATTCCGATGAGATGCGCGTTAATATGAGAGACCAACCACGTTAATCCCAAAATTTAAAACGCCAGTGACTTAGATGGTATTTGAACTCGCAGGGCTGTGCTTGAACGATGCTTCATGTCCCTAAATCACTGGCGTTGCATAGCCGACATTTACGGCACAAATGTTGCAGCTGCCAACACTCTGCAATGTTATGATATATTTAAATGGCGTAATGGTAATTGGCGATTGTGTAGTGTTGAAAAAAAACAATCACGTAACTAATTCGTTTTATCATCTAATTCATCATTCATTATCTCACAATTTCGTAGGAAAGCAAATTACTCCTAATTGATCTGGATTGCCAACATCCTGGTAAAGATATTGTACCCGCGATCAAACGTTACGGTTATCCATTGTCATAACTATTCAACAATACTTTCGATTTTGAAGCAAACCTAGTGAAAATTGGATCAAAGACGACAAACAGGAACACGATGCTTTATTTTACAACCATAGACACGGTGGATACGACCACATGACCACGACACTCTACGAGTGGACAAGAGCGAGAACAGACATGAACCGAGATCGCGATCTACTAATTTAAGAAGATTTTGCGTGATTTTAGTTTGAGAGCTTCTAAAAATAACTAAATTGAATAAAATATATTTGCATGTAAATGACATGGTGTTGATGTTGATGGTACCTGACACGGGTACAAGGTACAATGTTTACGTGAAAGAGTTGTTTTCTTCGCAATACGACGAAGTCACTCAGAAGAAATACATGGAGGACTTCAGGACGGAGTGTGCAGAAGAAGAAGGATTAAAAAAATAAATAAAAGTGCTAAGACAAACAGCATTTCAAAATATTTAAGTTTTCTGTTTTATGTATATTATATTTGAAAGTGTCAATTATTATTTTGAATTTTAAATTACCATAAGGTAAGAAAATTATTAGAAAGAATTCGGATTCATGAAAGAATTTATCGAAAGAATTCATGAGAATATTATTTGCGAAATACAATGCAATGCAAATAAAAAAAACATGTTGAATTGAAGAAATTACTTTAAATCAATTTAAAGTTTATAGAAGTAAACTTTAATTATTACTGTTCACAGAATTATTATTTCTTGACATTTCTTACCGTCGCAGCCTTTTAGAAAGTGTGTAAACGTCACTTTCCCATCTTCTAAGTAATGATTTAATTTTCACCCATGTGGCGAGTAAAATATTATTGAGAGACATATGATTTAGCTTCATACGTACGAGTATTTTGGCATTTCCGAACAGGAACAATTATTTGAGTAATTACTGTTAACGCAATTTTTTCGCTGCAATGTGACACAAAAATATGACAAAAGCGCGTTAAATTATTCCAATGATATCTACGTAGTTAAATATTCACCTAGTATTGATAAATAACATTACGTAAGTGAATGATAATTACATTTTAAATTGAAATAAACTTTCATTTATAAATAGTTTAAAAAATATAAAGTGGTGTAGAGAATTTACTATTACTTTAATGCGAAGTGAGTGAACATTAAAATGACATTAGCATTTTCTGTAAAATATTATACCATAATAAGTGTTAGTAAAATGTTTCATCGGCGAATCATTATTACACTCTTTCTGTAATAAGTAGGAATTTTGATGGTTTGTCAGTCACGAATTATGTGTATCGTAAGTAAACAGAGGCGAAACCAGAAATGTTCTTGTGGTAAGGGGGCAATAGATATAATGTCTAGCCACGTGTTGTTTTCTTATAAATACTTTTTTATTTATGCTGAATATCAAATGTATTTTGAGTTGTAGGAAATATTTATAACGTTAACTCTTGATATATTCAATGATGTCCGTTTGTACAGAAAATTAGTAAAATGTATATTTTACATTCACGCTTACTGCATGCGTATGTAATGATACAACAAAGCAATTTTTGCGCAGAATCATTAGTCTTGTATATCCCCTACTCCAAAAAAATGAATAAATGATTGTTTATTTGTAATCAATTATTTTCTCTAACGCATCTATGTTTTGTGGGTCCTCAAAACGAACATTAAGCCTCAATGATATTTTTAAATTGGCCATTTTTAAAAATAGTTTAAAATTTTTTGGATATTTTTTATCGAATAGAAATAAGTAGGTTTTTGAAAATCACGCAGGTCCAATTTTCGTTGAATTCTCAGAATTTTCGAAAATTGCAAAAGGTAATTTTTGGTTTCTTCGTACACTCAAATATTGAAATAATGAAATTATTCTTCTGAATTAAATCTGTTCATCAAAATGTATCCTAAAGGAGATCAAACGCGATATATTTAAAATATTAGTAGTTTTTATGTACCTGAAATAAAGTATTTTTCAAAAATCAGATTTCTTAAAAACCGCTACAATTTTTTAAAATTATCTTAATGTGTGGATAGTGATAAATGCACTGAAAAACATGAGATAAATGCCATTTTGAGGAATTCTTTGTTTTTTTTTTTCAAAAACCGTACAAATATAATTTTGTATATATTTTTCTATCGTTAATGAGAGAGATACATTTATGTTAGGCATTTACATTACAATACATTGTATATACGCAATGCGGTTGTGAGTACATGTGCTTAAAATGATATCTTATGAAGTTTCTCAAAAACCCAAAAAGGTTTCCGAGAAAATAAATAAAAATTGCCAATTTACGAAATGCTCGGACGATATTTTTTTAAAAAACTCTGCCAATTCTTACTTCAAACTTTTAATAAGGGCAGTTCTATACGCACTAATTTACACGATGTATATCTCTTTTTAATACATTACTTTGATTTTTTTTTAATTTCATAAAAGTAATGCGCAAATCAGTAGCATACCATTTTTCAGAGCCAGAGAGCGAAACTATTTAAGTCGGTTTCTGGAGAGTAATTTGAGGCGCGTGTTCCTCGGACACATGTCCGCGCGAAATTGCAGAGCGCTCAAGAGCGCAGAAAAAAGGCGCGGAGGCGCCCCGGAACAAAGCGGCTGAGAGCGCAAAGAACGCGCTGGAGGTATTTGCATAACAAAAGAGTGCGGCGGCCGCCGGCGATGTCGCGCCCCAGAGTGGCAAACCGCGACAAACACCTCGCCTCCCACCCGCTCCCGTGCTCCCTGCTCCGCCCCCGCCCAGTGTTGCCAAGTTAGGAGTTTTCGCCCTAAAATTTAGGGGTTTTGTTTTTTAATGTATATTTTAATTGTCAAATTTATTTGGGGGATTTTGTTGAGTTTTTAAATTTAAAAAAATATCTGTTGTGCATCACAAAATCCAAAAGTAGTTCTTTACAATTATTGCAAGTATATTTACTGAAATATAACTAGTATAGTAAAAACGTAGGAAAAGCAAGGTAATTTGAATGGTTAATTGTGCAAAATTGGGCGGTTAATTGTCACAACCTAAGATTGCTAAAAACGCGCAACACATTTGATGAAAAGAAACTAATCACAGCTATAAACAAGAAATGGAAAAGTTTTCCGTCGAAGCAAAGCTTTAAAAAATAGGTCTCATTATTTCGTTTTCAATCATTACACTGATTGAAACAAGGCTATCTCTTATGTCACGTAATTCGTACACAGTGTGTACCTCTTTATAATAAAACTTTTACAATTTGTGTTCATATGTACATTACTACGTAAATACTTGTTATACTTGAAAATATACATTTCAACTTTAAAACATAAAACTCATCATATACATTGAATTATTTTTTCGTATTTCTTTAATTTTTTTATATTTTCTTATATTTTGAATAAGAAATTATAATTTTTTTAAAGTCTCATCAACTTCTAGATGATTAGCGACCACTATTGCTTGTAACAGTATGGTAACTGTGAGAATGACACGATATGATGATGATACGGTGTGAAAGGACGAACACAATACAAACACACCTGAGGCGGCACTCGAACCCGCGATCCTTCGGTCGGAGATCGCTATGGCACTACTGCCTTAGCGATTTCGGCCACCGGATCGGCTATATTTGTTTGTATTTGGTGTTTTTAATTTTAATTTTTTATTTTGTTCGTACGTTTTGTTTGTTTTTGCAGCGCTATCTAGTGGAAAATGCCTAAGACCACCTGGCAACACTGCTGAAGGTTCCTCCATCTCAGGTCCCACCACCGCTCCCGGCCGCCCACCGCCCACGCTCGGTGCCGCGCTGAAGCACAAGAGGCCTCCACTGGCAACTCAGCCCGGGGCTCCGCGGGATTTGGTCGAGTGCCGGCGAGGAGGAGGAGGATAATGGAGCGAAGTGGTTGCCGCATTTCTTCGACAAGGTTCCTGCCACTTAAATGCTCCGATAGATTGCCAACAAAATACGTTCAGGATTGGGATGACAAAAATGAACGTAAATATGGATAAAGGAAAGTGATTGACATTTCAGCCCTTCGGCTTGTTTTCAGCTTTAAGTCGCTCTACAGCAGTTATGGCTTAATTATTGATGATGCTAAGAGATCAAGTAATTTTATAGGGAAAAAAAACATGTAAATGTCATGTTTGGAAACAATTAAG